AGCTTGGTATCATCCTGGTTGTCAAGAGTATCTGCACCGTTGGTGGTCTGTCTAGCATAATGCTACTGGTAAGTCATTTATATAAACAACCATTGACTTGATAACCCAACTAATTCCATGGCGACAGATCACGAACTCGGCCCGAACAAAAGCGACTCTCGGACGACTCAACGGAATTGCACAAACACTATCTGCAGCCGGTCGTAGTATCGGACCGTTTCTCGCCGGATCTCTATTCACGGCATCTACCCATATACGTCCTAAAGGAGAAATCCTCGCCTGGGGACTATTCGCAGGAATCTCCCTCCTTGGATGGCTTTCGACATTTGCTGTTCATGGTCGCAGTCTTGAAAGCTCCGACGACGGGCTTGAAGGAAGTGATGAAGATGATAATGAGTCGGTTTAATCACATCATCACATCTTTATTGGTAGAGCTTTTTTTTTTATCATGGCATGGGGAGAGCTATACTCATACTCCTTCGTAACAACACGAGGCTCTTATACATGGTTTATTGGAACCCACTGTCGACGCGACAGTGATTTAACGTGCTTTGCTCAGAGCGCGCGCTTGGCTCCGGGATGAAGTAGGAGCAGGAACCCTTGTACGAAGAGGAGTGTTGGCATGTCAGAAGTGCCGACACAGCATGAATTACGAAGACGCATCGATGCGAGCACGCACATATCGCACACAATACATGGCTGGCACTTGCTATACGGTTTATGCCAATCAGGTAATGTTACTCTTACTTCCCTTTCATCCCCTTCCCCCGCCTTATCGTTGATGAAACTCATGATAAGAGACGTTTGGGATGATGACGATGATGATGATGATGCTAATGCTTGCTTGCTTGTGCGTACAAGTTTCTGGTAGAACAAAAGAATTCAACGAAATGAGACGGAAATGGAAAGAGGGGGATGTAAGACTTGGGGGCGGGAGGGTATGGAAAGGGCATCAAAGGGCATCGAAGCAATAATTAGACAAGACAGAGAGCTAAGACTTTTTTTTTCTTTGCAAAAATGAGAAAAATAACTTACAATAATGGGCTTCTGCTGAACCTTTTTTTTTTTTCTTTCGACTCCTCTTTTGGCTTCTTTGATGGAAGAACGTCGAATGATTGGGGGGTACTGACTCTCAGTCTTACTATCTAATTAGATGTCACTTATCCCAGTACCTACTCGTGACTTGCTTCAGCTATCTAACGTGCCTAACCTAGGTTAACTAGACTACATTGCCATTTGCCTGTCGACGGGCGTATATACCTACAATTAATTGATCTCGCCTTCAGGGCGAACGACTCATCTCATCGACGATCAGAAAAGAGGGCATCAATAAAATCACCATTCAACTTTTTTTATTTATTTATTTATATTCCGCCCATCATCGCTCGCTCGGTTGAAACTAACCTAGTTAGATATTATAATGACTGCCAGAATGTTCCGATCTTACTTTATAAAACACTTGCGATAGATCTTCGCTTCTTTTCTCCGTCTTCCTGATGGAAGGAATTACTTAGATACCTGTCCAGACTACCTAGATAGATAGATCCTTACTCAGCCAGCCCGCTATTGTCATAACCACCTTCTAAGTAGTTATACGTCTGTATCCTCATACCTATACTAATACACATATCTATCTAACCTAGGTTATATGTGAATACATTCCGTACATGCATATTATCCATCCCTCGACGACGGAGGATCAAATCCATCCATGTTCTCGAATTTTGGAAAAGAAATGGACTGACAGCTCCAGATTCAGCTCATCTTGTGACAGTTGAGCTATACGTATGACGCGAGTTGAATCCCGGACTTGTACAGCGGGATATTTCTTGGCGACATCGCGTTCGAACCAAAGCACCGGGTAGGTTATTCAATGTCTAGTGAAGCCGCCGAGAACCCACCGCCGCCACCGGTCGAGAATGGTCCGACCACTATTACATCTGCTACCAAACCACGTAGTTGCGTGGTATGTCGGTCGCGCAAGGTCCGCTGCGACAAGAGGTCGCCTTGCTCTAACTGCCGCCGCGCCAACATCCCCTGTATCCTCCCGTCGACCAATCGGACCCCGCGATGGGTCAAAAACTACAATGCCGCAGCCGGGGAAAGATCAGCGCAAGCTGACGACTCCTCTTCGACGCAGCTCATGGAGCGATTGCGGAATTTCGAGAATCTAGTCAAGGATCTTAGATCTCAGTTAGACCAAGCTCAAGCGGCGGCCGGTTCGTCTCCAGATTCTACTCAACGCCATGAGGGCGCCGAGTCCCCCAATCCGGAACCGGCGAATATTCAATCGCTGTTAGGCAGACTTGTGATCAACGATGACAGCAACAGCCGCTACGTAAGCAGCAGGTTCTGGTCTCGCGTCAATGACGAGGTATGCATGCATCATTAAGTGCCGGCAAAACAGGTACTTTCTCACTTCTGGCGCTTTGCCTAACCGTGCCAGTAGCTTGATGAAATCAAGAAGGACATTCAAGATTTAGCGGACGTCGATCTCGCGGAAGAGCATGACGAAGGGCAGGATAGACCACCGGCCACCAATGAACTTGAGCGAACACCATCAGAACGTAATGGCTTTTTCTTCCGCCATTACTTTAACGCACCTGAGCTTGACCCTACCGAGTTTCAGCCCCTGCCGTCGCAGGTGCCATTTCTCCTCGATGTTTTCGCTGCCAATATTAATGTGGCCATCTCGATTGTGCATATGCCGACAATACGGAGGATCGCGCGGTCTGCGGGTGCTGATGGTGTCTCGCCGTCACATGCGAACGATGCCTTATTATTCAGCATATACTATGCTGCGATTGTCTCGATGGAAGAAGACGACGTGAGACATCTCGATCCCATCTGCCCATCGTTAAACTGTTGCTTACCTTCATTGCATATAGGTGATGAGAAACTTCAGGACCACCAAGGCTGATCTCTCTTTGAAATATCGATTTGGGTTCGAACGTGCCATGGCCAAGGCAGATTTCATGAATGTGCTTGACATCGTAGTACTCCAGGCCCTCTGTGTCTTTTTGTTCCTGGCTCGTCGACATGATAGCCCGAGGTTCGTCTGGATGATGACTGGCTTGGCCATCCGCATGGCTCAGGGTCTCGGCCTGCAACGAGATGGAACCCATTTCCAACATCTCACCCCCTTCGAAGTCGAAACACGAAGACGAGTCTGGTACGCGATTTGCGCGCTTGATATCCGTGCATCGGAGGACCAGGGAACAGAATTCACCATACAATATGGTAGTTTCGACACGGAACTACCAAAGAATATCAACGATGCAGACATCGATATTGACACCAAGTTGGCACCGAAAGAGAGAGAGGGTATCACCGATTCTACTACAGGTATAATAACGGTAGAAACCAGCAATATCACAAGACGGATGATGTTGCCCGGCGTGAGCATCGATGAGCAGCGAGAACTCCTGTACAAAATCTACGATTCGTTGGAGCAGCGCTACCACCGCTTCTCATCAGGGCCAGGGGACGTGATATATCGAGTATTACTCCTTGTCACGCACCTTCTTAGCGCAAAGTTGACGCTTCTTGCCCATCTGCCCATACTCTTTTCATCGCCTAGCGATCAGTTTTCGGACGACCTCAGAAACGAACTCCTCTTGGCGGCTCTCGCGGTGGCTGAGACCAACCATGCTTTGAACGCAGAAAGGGCCTTCCGGCAGTGGCGCTGGATCTTTCAGACATATACGCATTGGCACGCCGTAGTCTATCTCTTCCTCGAAATATGTCGTAGGCCCTGGTCGCCCATCGTCGAGCGGGCCTGGATCGCATTGCATAGCCCTTGGCTCATCCCGGCGAGGTCGAAGCTGTTGAAGGACATGCGAACCTGGGTACCGGTACGACAGCTTATGCTGAAAGCCCGTAGGCATCGTGAGGCTGAGCTGGAAAGACTGCGCGGTGATGTGGACACCGCTCGACGCCTGGAAGTCGAGGACAGAAATATCCGAGTGCCACCGACGCTGGCTGGTGTCTTTTCCGATTCCACGGGCGAAGTGTTCCGGGGTAGATGGTGCGAGCTTGTGGGATTGTCCGGCGTGTGTACGTCGGCTCCACTTGACATGCCGACATCGTCTGTCCCTGAACCGCTGAGTTCGATCCAGATGCCTCGAGCCCCCTATCTTGATATGAATACTGCAGTGAGAACCAGTGTATATCCCCAGCCCGGTTACCCTGGCCCTGTGCAGAACCCCGCAACTGAGAGCTACTTCCCATTGCGATCCTCTTTGCCCTTAACAACTCATGACACCATGATGCAAGGCCAATTCGGCAGTTGGGCACCGAATAATAGTAACAGTGTCTCTGAACATACGGCAAATTGGTTCGACGGCCAGGCTCGGGATAATGGACAAGACGCCTGGTTCTGGGCAGATGTCAATCCGCCAGGAGGCGCCTTCGACATGAACCTCATGGACACGGATTTCGGACAAGCAGGAGACATGGATTGGCATAGCTGGGTTGAGAGCGCGAAAGACGCGGAGATGGATCGACAGGCGAACACAATAGAGTCCTCAGCGGAAAGGGGAGGGAACTTTTGAGCCGTATAGATTAGATACCTAAGTAAGGCAGCAACTGCCAAACGTCAGTTTGATTCATGATATAGATAAGAATGACGTAGCTAATCTGTGCTTCGGATCCACTCGTCTATAACCACCCCTCGATATCCATTCATACTTCCTACAATACAAAATCTACGTTTAATATAGGTAATAAAACATGTCGATGTGAAGGGAGATTTCTCTCTAATCTAGATAAATAATTCTCATCGAATTTCAAAATGATGTATATACGATATATCGTCGCCCTCATCTTGCCTAGACTTTCCCTCCGCGCTGCGTGTGTGGGGGGTGAGGGTGGGGTTCCATCCGCGGGGTCATCTCCCCATCCGTGAAGCAACTGCCAACAACGCCCGCGACTTCCGCAAATAGATTCCTACCCCAACCCCCCTCACCCCAAAAAAAGTCAAAAAAGAGAACGTAAGGAGTTGCACTAACCAGGAATCGAACCAGGGGCCTAAGCATGGGAAGCTTAGATGTTACCATTACACCATTAGTGCTTTATATACCTGGAGAGAGCGTCAACCAGACCTATGACGTGTGCGTGCTCGGGATCGGATGGGATTGTATGAGTTTGTGAGGATTGGACATGGATTCTCTCTCGGTTGGAATTCTGTAGTCTTACTCTTATCAGTCTGTACTCGGTATCTTCGCAGTTCTGCTGGTAATTATGGTTAAACGAAGATATTAAAATGGAATGGTGCCCGGATGGCATACGATTGTCTCTTGCATCTTGGTGCATTCTGTATAACCGATGAACCGGTATGGCGAGCGCACGGGCAAGCAGCTCGTAGGTAGTTGTCACAACTCGTCTTCACCACGATAGATATCATCGGAGTCTTTTATTATTCTTCAAGGATCACAAATCACTCGTTTGACGAATTATATTTTGAGATCACAGTTTGCAATGTCGTTGCATTGAGATTCACTACTTGCTACTATATTCAAAGTTCCATCTCCCTCGTCTCAGGTCACTATACCAAACATCCCAAGACAACAAGCACCTTCGTCTAGCTAGCATGCAAAGTAACCGAAGCATGGCCTAGTCCGGGCGACGTCGCCGAAACAACAATATCTCCCGAAGCCCCGATATCCGCTCGGATGATAGACAGCGCTAGTCCGCTGAATGCCTGGCGGCTCAGAGAAGGGAACACTGTAAAATCAGCCGGCTTGCCGTTATCGGTAGACACAATCTGTCCCGGTCCGGAAATGGAGAAGGTAATGTTGTTGCTCGCCTGGGGTACCGTGTCGCCGTTTCTATCCGTGACGGCGACGGTTATGTAGGAGAGGTCGTAGCCATCACTGGCGATTTCAGTGCGATCGGCCGTTATCTTTATTCAGTGCGTTAGTTTATAGATGCCAACGATGCGGATTATTATTTTATGGTGGGGGTTACATACGTTCAGTTTCGCCGCGCTTCCCACTGTCCTTTTCGTGTCGGTCGCCCATTCTTCTCCATTTTTATATGTTACTACATGGAGCTCGCCTGCTTCATACTTTACGTCATCCCAGCGGAAACGATAAGTGTATTCGTCCTTTGATTTCCGGCCGACAGACTTCCCGTTCACGAATAACTCTGCTTCATCCCCGGATGAGAACACATGCACTGGCGTGACCTGTCCGACGCGGTCTGGCCACGTCCAATGCGGTAAGATATGCGCCATCGGGAAATCCGGTCGCCAGCGGGCTTGGTAAAGATAGAAACGGTCTTTCTTGAAGCCCGCTAGGTCGACGATGCCGAAGTAAGAGCTTCGCGCGCTGTCATAGGGCGTTGGTTCGCCTAGGTAGTCGAAACCGGTCCAGACAAACTCTCCAGCTACGTAGTTGTGTAGGTCCTGCTGTTCGAAGACTTTGTCCGGGGACGAACCCCAGCTCGCCGAGTATAGTTCGTATGCAGAGATCTGTAGCGATGAAGCATTCCCACCAGACCCGGTCCCTGCGATGGCGCTGTTAGCGCTCGTCACGGGGAAGATGTAAGTCCCGCGGGTGCTTACGGCCGACGAGGATTCGCTGGTCCAGATCATCTTGTCGGGGTGTGCGCTGTGGAAGCTCGGGAACGTTGAATCTGTCGATGTTCCTAGTCCCTCACCTTGGTAGTTTAATCCTTCCAGATCGAGAACATCTGTAAGCGGGCTGCTGGCGCTGGCTGTGTTCATGGCGGATGTGACTGGTCGTGTAAGATCTTCTGAGCGGACGATGTCTCGTAGAGATTGCCCTATCGTACCACCGGTGGCACTACTCTGCTCGGGGATTTCGTTTCCAATGCCCCAAGCGATCACCGAGGGATGATTTCGATCCCGTTGCAAGAATGAGCGGAGGTCGGGCTCGCTCCAGTCAGAGAAGATCAGATGAAAGTCATTCGTGGTTTTCCCACTGTCCCAGCAGTCGAAAATCTCGTCGTAGACTAGCAGGCCTTGGCGGTCCGCGAGTTCCAGTAGCTCGGGAGCCGGAGGATTATGGGACGTCCGAAGAGCATTAGTACCCATCTCTTGAAGAATGTCAAGTTGTCTCTCCACGGCTCTTAGGTTAAATGCTGCGCCTAACGAGCCTTGGTCGTGATGGTTACAGGTTCCCTGAACACGAATGTGCTCCCCATTGACTAGAAGCCCTTCATTTGGGTCGTAAGTCACCGATCGAACGCCAAAAGGGGTCTCGTAAGAGTCCACCGTAACATTCCCGACGCTGATGGTCGTGATAGCGGTATAGATGTTGGGCTTTTGCGTGGGAGGTGGCCCCCATAGTTTTGGGTTGTCCAGAGTAGCGGAGGCGTTGATTGAGGCAGTTGTGCCATTGGAAATAGATAATGATTTCGAGGGAAAACGCGCCACCACGTCTGCTGAGGCGGTTCTTGTCTCGGAGTCGATTGCACGAACTGTGGTTCGTATGTTTACCTCTTGTGATGTAGTTCCCAAATTCTCCACATCGACCAACAGACTGATGGTAGCAGACTCGGCTGACACCTCAGGTGTGGTAATATGTGTGCCATATTGACGGACATGTATCGGGCTCAACTTCACAAGCCAAACATTTCGGTAGATTCCGGCTCCAGGATACCAACGCGATGAATCAAGTGCATTTTCAAGTCGAATGGCGAGTTGGTTATCACCCTCGTTTGCGTAAGGCGTCAGGTCAAGACGAAAGGAATTGTATCCGTACGGCCAACCTCCAACCAGATTGCCATTCAACCAAACTGCGGAGTAGGCCATGGCTCCGTCGATGTCCAGGAAGATCGTTTTCTCCAAATCATCCTCGGCTAACGTCAGGGTTTTGCGATACCAACCCACTCCATTCGAAGGCAGCCCCGCCATGCTGTTACTGACGCCGGGCGAATTGAACGGCCCTTTGATCGCCCAGTCGTGAGGTAGATTGACCGCTTCCCACGCACTATCGTCGAAATTTGAATTCACGTATTGGACATCATTTCCTGGAGGTGTCCCGCTTGGACGTTCATGCTTTGTTCCGCTAATGAAGCTATTACCCGAGGGAAGTATCCAGTCCCTGAGGATGCTGTATGACAGCGAATCCGGGTTCGTGGTGAATCGAAAGAACCGCCAGTCGCTGTTAATATCAATGCGCTCTCGCATCGCTGATGTCTGGGTAGTGGCTTTCAGTTCGTCGGGCTTTTGAACCGCTCGCGCCGCTACGTATTGCGGAATGATAGCAAGCAGTACTAGGCCCAAGATGAGCCGGGTGCAGCTTTGGTATCGTAGAAAGTGAAAGCTGATCATTTTGGTTCATCAATGCCAAGAGCACTCATCGGTTGATGAACACTGACAGCTTGGGCTTGGAGACCGAAGCTGAATAGTATGAAGGGAAGGCAGTGATATGAGTTCCCTCTCGACAACACAGCGGAGATATTTTCCGTATTGGAGGGACCATGTGAGATATCTTCCGGCGATGCCAAGTCAAAGACAACTGCTAAATGAAGCGGCCCCAAAGTATGGAATCGCCGGCTCGCCCAGTCATACGCCCTCGTTTACCCGGGTTTATCCCACGACCTGTGACGTGAGGATGCATAGAGGAGGGGAACCCCGTCCAACTTCTCCTCAGAGAGACGGCATTGTAGCGCATCTTGGTCCCGTTGGAGATTTCAATTCCGTGCGTGGCGTTCATTGCATATTGAAACCCCAAGACGCCAACAAGACTGACTGGGTATTTTCCACCAATGTACGGACCGCGAATCACGACTCGTGGAATTTTAAAACATTCCACAAGTCGCAGGCTTTGGTCATAGGCGGATCCGGATCAGCAGAGTGTACAAGAAGAGATTGTATACACACATGGCTCAGATGCTACGAAGACTCTGAGGCCAGGGCAGCCGAGAAAGCGAAACACCTCAATGATGCCGAGCATCGCGAAGTTACCATCGAGGTTTTGAGTGATATATAGGTAGCGCGATCAAAGGCCAAAGAAAGATACGGCGTCGAATGCTATGCTACCGTGATAGGCCTCAGTCGTGTGGATGGATCCCCGGGTCACACCTCGTTGGTCGTTTCCATCAAAGATAAGCTGTATTGAGTCATCTGCGAAAGTCCGAGACCGGCGCTTGTCATTCTTGCTAAACCATCCCCATGAGTGCTCAATGAGTTAGGTAGGTGTTTATCTGAATCCACAATCGCGGGGTGATACTGCCCTCAAGCACGTTCGAGTCCGTCTTCATTTCACATTCACACTCACGATGGCTTCAGAAACCGACCGACTTGGCGCTGTTGTAAAGCATTCCCCGGCTCTCCCGCCTTCTCCGGACATAACTTTATCGGGTCGGTGGGTCAAGGTAGTCGGGATGAACGCTGGGCACATCGAGCCGCTTTTTGCGCAAATATCAGGCGACGAGAATACTCACCTTTGGGACTACATGCTGACGGGGCCATTCGCCAATCTTGCGGAATTCCGCGCTGCCACTGAATACCTCATGAATGGGGACGAGTTAGTCCTCTACGCCATCATCCCCGTTGACGAGCCTACTACATCGACCGGCGCCGACAACGTCATAGGCTATGCAGGTTACTTGAGCATCAAGCCCAGCCACTGTTCCGTCGAAGTCGGCCACGTTTTGTTTTCACCCAAGCTACAGCGGACCCCTCATGCCACGGAAGCCATGTATTTGATGGCTAAGTACGCGATTGAAGAGCTCGGTTATCGAAGATACGAGTGGAAATGCAATACTCTGAACAAGCGGAGCTGGAGAGCGGCGCTGAGGCTGGGGTTTACATATGAAGGGATATTCCGACAGCACATGGTAATCAAGGGACGGAATAGAGATACTGCTTGGTTCGCGATTATCGATAAAGACTGGCCTGGAATAAAGGCTGCCTTTGACGGATGGCTGGAACCTTCGAATTTCGATGAAGATGGTTCGCAGAAGAGGAGATTGGAGGACTTTCGGATTCAGCAGAATTGATGAAATGAAGGAAGGTGTCTCTGAATTATGAAGCCATGAAAATACCCACACCTGGAAATACGGAATAATTACGTGATCACAGATCACGTGAGTAACCCC